ATGGGCAGTGCGGCATTGCCAGTACTGGCATATATATCCATCTATATCCAACCAATATCTACATCGTTTTCACCTTATCGATGACTCACAATGCACACGGTGTCACTTCCCAATAGACGACAGAAACCACAGTCTCTTTCATTGTTTCCATTTTGGTTTTTTGTGGCAACAACTGACAAGTGAGATCTGTCATTTGGCACATGGAAGTGGTGATTGGAATGAGCTTATCTTTTTAGATTAGGACGACCTTTTTCGGCCAGGTTATTGAGGGCTGTCTGCTGGGCATAGTTGAGAGGGGATTTTGTTCATATTGACACGGTGATGACAATATTTTGGAAATCACGTAGGGCAACAAACAGGGGATACACTGGGACACTTGGGATATTTGGGACACTTGGAATTTCTGGGAAATTACCTAGCAAACTTGTTCCCCTTCATGACATTTCCTCTCTTGATGCTTAAGACTCCCCTGCTAGGACTCTGAGCGTTCATCGAACACTGATATTTTCTTCTTTTCTTGTCTCGAGATCCTACATTAGCTCCGGCTGGAAGAGGGTCCTTTCGCTATTAAGATTGCGGGGGAGATATTTAGGTTACATTTTCGTGTACTGCATTGGATATATAGAGTGGGTGGCGCCCACTGGGCGCGCTCCGGCTAGTCTAGGCCGGGCTACCTCTTTGGGCCGTCTCAGGACCATCAGATGCCAATTTGTGTTAAACCCTGTACCTAGGGTTAGTTCTGACTGCCAAATCCAAGGGGCTACAGGGTGATCCTTGTAACCAGGGCGTAAATATAAATAATTATCCTGATAATGAGATTCTGCCAAGCATGACATTGGGTGGGCGCGCAACGGCCAGTCTGGGCCGTTCTGCCCCTTGGGATAATTGCAGGGCCATCACACAACCGGTTTCTGTCAACCCCTATACAGTAGGGGTCCCTATATAGCGGCCCCCTAATAGCGCCCTTGGCCCCCAATAGCGCCTCCTTTTCTGGCTTGTCACCATTTTTGTAGCACTTTATGTAGCTTCGCTGCGCAATGGGACCTCAAGCTAATATTGTGGATAACCAAACACATTCAAGAGAGGTGTCCGGTGGACGGATGGTGCGGTGGCCGTCTGTTTCTGCGAACTTGGCATATCGCTAGGGGAAAAGGGCCAAATAACACGTGTTCAAACGTGTACAAAGTTTACAGGTTTGTGTTATTTTTGTGTTATTAGCAGTGCAGAACTTTGATGAAATGTGTTTCACGTGTGTTCGCAAAAGTGTTATTTTGCCCTTTTTTCCCTAGTGTATCACGGACGGGCAGACGACACGTTTGGTGTGTCCGCTGTGGGACCCGGGCCCAAGACCTCCCCGGGAGGCCAAGGGACGAGTGCGTCCCATTGCGGATCTCCATCTATGCATAGCGAAGTGGGCACTGCCCATTTGGGCTCCTTGCGGCCAACGGAATGGAGGGATAGGGAGGGGTGCCCAAAGCCGCGGCGTCCATTCTTTCTCTCTCATCCTCATCATACAAATCTACCTCCATGTCCCTCCCGGAATCCTCATCACTGCTAGAAGTTCCGTCTTCCATGAAATCCGGGTCACAGGGGCTTTCATCATCGTGGTCACCCTCATCATCATCAAAAAAGCTCTTGATTGGTTGCTTTGGCATCACAACCGATCTCCGCACCGGGCGCTTTGATGCTTGCACTGGCCGATAGGTTGTGCAGTAGCGCCTCAAACAACAGCCTCCACCTTGCAAACCCTTACTACACGAGCAGGATCCGCACCATGCATGCATAGGGATGTTGCAACCAAGGCAACTATGAACGCCACTGACCCCAGCACTTATTTGGTAGACTGGGCACACCAGTCGTGCAGCCATCGCACGCCTGCGTTAATCACAACAGCGCTGCCACGCTGCCACCCAGCCATGCTGCCACCCTGCCACGCTGCCACCCTGCCACGCTATCACACTGCCACGCTGCCATGCTACCACGCTGCCATGCTGCTGCGCTGGCACACTACCACGCGACGCCGACGCCAGGTGCCGCCACAGCCCCAGCAGGTCATTACATAGCCATATTGACTAAAACTACAATTAAATGCATTAAAACAAAGTTAACACAATAGTGCCCCGGCCTCAAATAGCGCCCCCCTTGTGGCCATGTTACGGGGGGGACGCTATATAGGGACCCCTACTGTACTTGGGGTCAGTTCTATCTGACGGATCCAAGGGCAGTTGGTGTAAGGGCTGGGCACTGGAACATTGTACATTACGGCCACGGGAAATTGTATAATATAGGCGCTGGACATTGTATACTAAGAGCTCTTTAGAAACATTGTATAATAGGGTATACTAAGGGCGACTGAGGTGGGCGATGGTGAAAGGGACGAAAGGGGTGAGTGCCGTATTGGTCAATACGGCGAAGGGTGGCGCTGGGGACCGGTGGGTCGGCGAGACGAACGGACTGGGAACGGGAGTTCAAATTACGAATTGGGCGAGCATGCCAGAATCTGGGTGACTCACCCAATTCTGGCATGACTCTTGGACTGCCTTGGACACGGGATATATAAACAGGAACACCGGGACACTCTTGTAATAACAAAGTTGCCGCCCAACTCGTTTCCGACCGAAACCCGACTCGAACGGGGAAGCGGGCCAAGTCCCGTCCGGCCAAAAAGGGGCACCGCCCCTTACAGTTGGGATGAACCCTGTACTTTGGGCGTAGACAAGGGGACCGATCAAGCTGGCCCTTTGGTTTGGCGGGGAGTTTGGCGGCAAATGGGAGCGGCTATTTTAGGCAAGACTCTTGGCGCCCCCTTATCTTGTTTCGCAACCACCCGACCGACCTTGATAGAGTGAGTTTCGGTTCGTTGTGGTATTGAGAGGGAGTTGAGTACGAGAAAAGGAGAGCTGACTCAGGGTTAAGTCACCAACAGTGTGGCATTAAGTATGCGAAGCGAGGGCACATTTCAAGTGGGTTGCCAATCGGGTCTTGTATTAGTGAGGTGATGGACACTAGTACATTTGTGAGTGTAATGTCGTGTCGTGTGGGGAACACAGGAGAGAGAGGGAGGTTGATAAGGCAGAAATATAAGTGCTGGCATACAATACTGGCATATGCACTGGCACATGTGTGCCAGGACTGACATATTTGAATACACTTTGCCACTCGCATAAGCTTCTCTTTCTCTTTGGGCCCACACGTTTCCCTGCGCATCATCATACAAGTGCACCCAGGCCCTCTGCTGGGAGGCCGGCTTGCAGATGCCTCGCCCCAGTGCCGGGCAGCCGAGAGTCCAACCAGGACCAGCATCTAGTGATCGTTAACATTGCCATTTGTTCCTTAACGGCCGTGGATCCACGCCACGTGACAGGGGTTGGCACGCTGACGGTGCTATGCATGTCACAGCTGCTGTTGTCTGCGCCTTACAAGGTCTCCAAACTCATTCTGGAAACGGACTAATCTTGGATTCGGGGCGGCCTTAATGGATACTTTAAGTATCCCCCAAATACATAACAGGCATGATGCTCATCGCCGGCTTGAAGGTGCAATTGTAGTGCTTTCCTTTCCTGGACAATGCGATCAGAGATTTCACGCATTCGAGAAAATTTCACACTGGCATTCAACTGCGCTAGACAATGCTGTACAATTAAATGCCCCAACAGAGTACAGAGAGGAAGGCCCTCCAAATTTCTGGCACGCAGACATTGCAGAGAGTTCACCCACCGCCTTTGCCCAGATTTATTCCCTGAGCACTGACGAAGTGAAGCACCAGCAAATATCCGACCAGCGAGGAAAGCTGCCTGCTTGACTCTCTTCATTCTTAAGCTCATTTGCCCCGCCCCTCCATGCACAACAGCCCACACTACAAACTCCTCGCGTCAACAAGCTCCCAAATCATTCCACGGGCATCTGCCGAGAATCTCCTCAACTCAAACCCAGATTCTATAATTTCTAGCGGCAAAGAAAGTCAAACAGCGCCGCCCACCAACACAGCTCCGCTGCGCAAAGCACCTCTATCATCCTGTACACTGAAGCCCCACACGCTGTGAACAATTCCTCCAAATATGTAAACTCCCACCCTTTTACATGCCATCAACAGCAATGGAGCAAGGACTTCACCACTCCTGTTTCAATTTAATGCAATGATTCGGTAATGATTTCACCCCTTCACTGGTTTTGATCAGTTAAGTTCCTGGAGCAACAACGATGAACGACGCCATTGTGTGTGACTTCACAGGGTCAACCCTGCACCTCACGCGCACATGGGTTGTGCATTGAACATCATCTTGCAAACTACTATCTTCCCAATCCACCCACCCACCCACCAAACCCAACCCAGAGCGCTTCACCTCAGGAACATTCAATACAAGCACCTAGGGCACTAGGAGTCTGCTTGAAAGGTAGCAGATCTGTTGCCCATTCTTGAATGCACTGTATCCCCACGGAAATGCATGCTACCGAAGCCTCTTTGGTTGTTGTAGCGTCCAATCTCAATGGAACAAAAGCAGAGGACCAGGCGCTATCCTGCTGCTCTGACAATCAGGATATCATGTGGAATACACATGTGAAAATGCCTATTTACCTTTCCAAAAGCAGAAGTGGCGGTCCAAATGGAACAACCGTTGATACAAACGGGTTCCTTACCACAGGCAATAAGCTACAAAAAACAGCCACCATTAAGAAGAGCACAGTTGTTCCCGCCTTCTGCTAGTTTATCTTTCCTTACAGTGAGAAACCTGGCGCACTTTTCACTCAGCCACTGCTGCTACGAAAACTGATTTCACCTGCATGCATCACCTCGAATCCCCTCTGGATCGCTGGACCTGAATTGCACAGCCTACGGCGTGTGCACTTTTGCATAGGACGGCAGACCCATGCACACACTCCTTGTGACTATGGGCAGCTGCTGCCACCACATTGCTTCACAGGCACCATGCCAATTTGTGGGTACTATGGAGATACAGACCACTGAGGCTTCCATATAGCCACAGTGTGCAATAAAGCAGTCAATGTAGTTGCTCATTCTGCAGTTCACCCATCTGGGTCCAGCCCAGCTGGCCCCAGACCAGGTTTTCATCCGTTGCACATATCATGGCAGAATAACTAGTGCCTCTTTCAATACGAAATTTGGCCAAGAACTTGGCCAATAACAAGTCCAATAACTTGGACTTGGGGCCCACAACAAAATTTTCAACTTTTCTGCCCAGAAACGCAGCTGGAGAATATGGTTTGCCACTTTTGTGACTCGGACCACACTTGGTGGGGCTCCCAAGGCAACGCCTGTTACCTCCTGCCCTGGCGACCTGCGACCCGTGGCACCTTAACCCTCCTGCCCACCTCCCTTCCTGTTCCCTCTGCATCTCAACATGCCCCGAATTTCCGTTTGCATCCTTTCATCTTGTGTTCCCTCTGCATCTCAACGTGCCCCAAGCTTCCTTTTGCATCCTTTCATCTTGTGTTCCGCAGTTGCCTTCTTGAATCAGTTCTGTTCCAAACACTTGTAAGCACAATGCCCAAGTCAGCAGTTTCCAGTCTTCCATGTCTTCCCATTGCTGCATGCTGGCAACTCCCCCCAGGATCAAACGCAGAGGACTGGGGCCTCTCAGCCCCACCAGACATCTGCGGCAGAGGAACTACTGGTTCATTTCTATTGTACGCTCTTTCTAAAGTCTGCACTACACACACATCCAAAGGTCTTTGGCTCGGTCCTTCATCATCACTGGGTGTTGTGTTGTGGCTCAGTTGCTTCAGCCTTGAAGTCGATTTGGGGAGAACGCAGGATGAGCAAGTTCTGTCCCTGTCTGCAGCTCTGATGTCAGACATTGTTGTGCTGTAGAACAGGCTCAGGCTGTGTGGCTCATCATCTGGTTAGTTCCAAACATCACCCGATCGGTATCATCATCACAAACCAGCTAAGACAACGAACGAAACCAAGCCTCGGTATACCATACCTTTTAGGACAATTCATGGCTGCTTAGCAATGTGAACACAATGCAAACAGAAACTAATGGTAGGCTGTTTCTCTAGGTTCCAGGTCCAGGATGAGCCAAGCAAGGCCCTTAAGCAACAACATGGATAGCCTGCAGACAGGCGACCAGGAAATCGCACATATCTACACGCGCCACAAGATATATTAGATGTATGATGTGGAGCCGGTGAGCTTTGCTTTTGTGCCAGGCTGTCTTGGACATGGCAATCGACGATATAGGCTTCACGATCCACATGAGCGATATGGGTTGTTCCAAACAATGGCAAAATCTGCAGAGCAAAACATGTCAGCCCCTTACCTCCCATTGAAGACCTGGAATTCAAACTATTCCACTACAGTTTTGTTATACCTAACTGCGATGGCCACTCTCAAGACTCACAGGCCACACATGTTGGCAAGCACAATCTTGTTCTCCACAACCCCAGATGTTGGCGGAATGGAGGTGCTGCTGCATCCACAACACCCAAGAGCGATCGACGTATTTGTACTCTTTCAGCTGATGTACCAGGAAGACTAAGATGCCAGAAGAAAGCCAAGCACCGCTGCTACATGTTTCATTCACATTGTGGTACACGAAAATCTGGACAAGCACTCCCACATTGCAGAAACATTAAAAAAACAGGATCTATGCTCATGCACAATGTATACCATTGGCAGAGACAAAGTGGTGAAGTGTGAAACCCACCAGCAGTTTTTGGCACCCCATCTCCGGTTGTGAAATAGGCATCAAGAGGAACGCTCAAGCCAAGCTCCACATCTCTTTCCGGATCCACTATCAGATCGGCTGACTCCATCCACCTCTCGACTTTGCACATGGAGGTGCCAATGAGGCTGTGAGGCGAGGGATCAACCTGCCTGAGCTCCTCACTTCGATCGTTCGGCAGCTCACACATTGTTCTCTCCTCGGGAAGTGACAAGGGCACCCATGCCAGGCATGGGCAGCAGGCAGCGGGGCACACCAGGGCACCCTGGACAAAAACCAAAATAGGCTCAGATTGATTGAAAGATCTGATTTTCTGGCAACATCTGGCAGGACACTGCACTCACAATTCCAAGGCAACAACTGCAAAGCATAATTGCATCTAAACAGTGATGGTTTCTTTCCCCTCATGTTCTCACAGGCTTGATGGAGTTGGCCTTCAAAACAGACCAGCAGCCAAAGGTGCTTGTTGCATATCCATTGCTTGATGGAGTCCTTCACAATGGAAAAGAACTGCTTCAGATCGAACACAACTGCACAGGCAACATTGTGCTATTGATCTAATCACAAGTGCACCAAGTTGAAGATTTTGCCAAACTAGCATCCATATGGGGCCCTTCCCTTGCTCCACATCATTTTGCCATGCTTGTAGGGGCCCCAGAATGAGACCTGTCTGGGACCCAAAACGCAGACTGAGTATAACGATTGCTGAAAATGAGTACATCATATGATAGCAACATGTGCATAAATAGCCAATGGTTCGGTAACTAAATAATAAACACAAAACCACAGGATACATAATGGCAAGTACAATGCACAGCAAATCAATCAAAAGAACAGTATAACACATGCAAAATAAAGCAGTAATTTAATGAAAATCCAACAAAAACATCAGCGGTTCACATGCAAAGAGCATACAAGGCCCTGATCTGAAATGCTGAGAATGCTGAACACTGTCCGAGACATTCAATGGTTAGCAGTGTCTGGGATTCCTAGGCACCTGTTCCGCCCAGTCCGCCCACCCATCCACATCTGTCTTGAACTTCTTCACAGACCCCTGGAACAATGTGCCAGTGGGCTTCACTATCTCTAGACCTTTGATCCTGTAGACTCCGATGCTCTCGTTGCCATCCACCATCGCCCCATCGGGTGCCACTCTCAACAGAAGGAGGCGGAAAAGAGCAACCATCCGCTGGTACGAGTTCAACAGGTTTTCTCTCAGCACCACACTTGCACCCTGGTATGCCTGCACTGATCGAAATCCAAAGACCAGCATTGCAGGAAGCACAGCAACTGCAATTATCAGAAGACCCACAGTGAAGAGAGCAAGTACCCAACTCCTGGGTCCTGTACCTGCAACAAAATAGGCGAGGCAACACAATAGTCAGAGAGGATCCAAGGATACAAAGGCAGTGGTTGTTGTTCTACTTGCAGTCAACAAATGCCACAACACTGGGAAGCGATGCAGAAGAATACCCAAATATACACAACCCTGTTGACCGCCTGTGCGCTTTTCTGTGTCTGACAGCAGTGAGGTGCCTCTCCATAAAACTTGGTTGCTTGTCCATCACATATGCTGAAAACAATATACTGCTGTTGTATTGCTGCCATGCTCACAGTTGCATTGCTGCCCTGCCCTTCTGTTTTAGAGTGGTTGATTTCTTTGGCAAACCTGCGTGGATCGTGTTTATTTCTGCAAGTGGACCAGTCCCATCTTGAGCATCCAAGCTTGGGTGTGGCAATAAGCTGAAAAATGACTCACCTGCCACTGCGAAACCACACAGTGTGGCCCACAGGCCAGCAGCAAGAGATACATTCCTTGCACAGTTGATCCAATGGACTGTGCAGGGTGCCATGAACACATTCATCGTGAGCATCACTGTGTAACAAACTGCAGCCACGCCCAATAGCACCCACTGGTAGCCATCTCTGTGTCCAAAGACAATGAAACATGCAGCCAGGGCAAACTTGAGTGACCCGCTGAATGCTGACCATGTTGATGAGAACATGGGCCTGTCGAAGTCAAATACTTGGAGTTCAACCTCAGCCAAGTTCCCTGGGTAATGCACATAGGCTTGAGCCAAGAAAGTCAGGTAATCGTCCTGCGCACAAACCACCAAGCCTGTCAGCACAAGCATGGCAGAAACTATAAGCTGCAGCTTAGATCCAGGGTATACTATTTTCCAACTTTGGGCCATAAGTGGCCAAGCAGCTTGAAATCGAGTTGAACTGCATATGGACTGTGGAACCAGCACACACCATGACATGCCTGTCTGTGCATTCTGTATTTGTCAACTAAACTGCTTTTCTGACACTGACAGATGCTGCATTAACTTCACATGGAAAGTTGCCGCATAGCTCCTTGACAGCTACTAAAATCTGCTGACTGCTTGTCACAGGTTCCAACTGGGCCTCAACTGAAGTCTCAGTGCAATCTTTAGATCTCTGAAACTCCAATCTGCACTCCAGCCTGATCAACCAGTACGATTTGGAGAACTTTGCGAGCACAGTGCACTTCTTTCTTAGAACAAACTCTCTCAGGTCAGGAACCTCACATTCAGCATTCTGCACAATGCAATCTTTCATAACATGTACAGAATTGCAGCACGTTATTGCCACATTCCAGACTGACTGTCGGGTAACAAGAGCTGTATGTAACCATTGCACTGTTGTGGGGTCAAAACAGCCAACTGGAGAGCGCAAGCTGAAAATGAGCGCCACAATGCTCACACAGTAGAGGTAGCCATGGCACATGGATTTTGACAGTGGAACAAAGAACTCTGTGCCCATTGCCACAGATAAGGCCAGAAGCCACCACAACCACCAGTATGGCAGCACCTTTTCCACGCTTTTTTCCAGGATCTTGTGCAGCATCGTGCTGTTTGTGGCCCTTGGCTTAAACAAGCGGTACATGGAGTACACTGGCAGGTTGTTCCACAAGATAATGTATAACTGGAACACCAACTGCAATACGACCAGAGCAACATATAGGAAGTGCCTGGAATCCTGCAGAGCACAACAACAGTCAAACAACTGGACATATGCTCAGATGTCCAATGGGCAATCATAACATGCAAGTAGCACATGTTCGTAAAAGCTCATGTATGCTGTAAAAGCCTGCCATGGCCAGTGGCAGTCAGTATCAGCCACAAGAGATAGAACACAGCGACAGCCACATACACACACACATCAACATGCATACACACACAAATAAACCCCCAACTGCATTGTATCAGCACACAAACTGTGGTCCACTTCACTTTAAAATGTTGCATGTCAGGAAACATGCAAGGAAACTCAATAGACAAGTCATGCAGCATGTGCCGGTGGCTGGATTGCAAGCACCGGGTTGACAGGATGCTTGTCAGCTGGGACAATTCAAGAAATGGCAAAGAATACGGCTTCTTGAAACAGCGCATAAATGCACTTTCCACCACTTTGCTACTGTGCCATACAAGTGACAAGGAGGCCGAGCAGGGCGCCTAGGAGGGTCAGAGCAGTGCAAGAAAAGATGACGGCCAATGGGCTTGCAACGCACCTGCCAGCACTGAACACTGGAGCGAAATGAAAGTACAGCTTTGCGTTGTGAACACCTTGGGCACAAGAATACCATCAGCATTGATGCAAACATGAACATGGATCCAAACTCCTGAAGCAATTCCTGGCCTCTCACATAGAGGCCGATCCCGGTCTTCACGATCATGCAGCAGCCCATTGAGAAAACTGCTGGCATGCATGACCTACTGCAGCATCCCCTGTTTGCAATCCATGCCATCGTCCCAAGCACTGTGGCAAGGACGGCTAAAGACAGCAGTACCAGCACTGGTAACAACACAACCCACAGAACGATTTCCAGGTATTCACTGCCATACTGTGGGAGGCCATAGTGGAAAACCTGCACACAACACAAGATCGCAACTGGCAAACAATGCTGTATGCAGGCTAGCAGCTCTTCACTTGCCAGAAATAAAATAGAAGATCAAGTAAAGGCAAGAAAGCACACAACATCCACACATCCATTTATTCAACTCCACAGGTTGGGTCCCACAGCTAATCAGAAACCAGTTTGCCTAATTATTGAACTACTTACACAACAGTCAGCAGGCGGTCAGCTCATGTGCACTCAGAAATTAAGAAGACACAGGAGTTTTATAGAATATGACAAGCTACAAATGGTATGTGGGTAACTCCAAAAGGGAACACAGCAACAAATCCACACACAGCCTATCACATTAAGCAAAAATCGGATATTGCCATTGTGGATGTAAAGTGTGCTCTGTCGTCAAAACGTCTACATCTTATGCGCAGCAGCATGGTGGCGCTCACTGCACTTGATTGGAATACGATGGCAAGTGTGGGTCAGGGTCACATCTCAAGGTTCTCAACAACAGGGAAAGGGAGGACCTGGCCCATACTTGAATCGGTTCTAAATCTGAGCAGGCTTTCCCACAAAGCAGTGCAGTTGTCATCAAGCCATTAACATGAGCCTTCAAACTCTTTTGTACCTGCCCAACAATATTCTCATCCCATCCCACCACAAATGCAAATGGCACAGCCATGAACTGCAGTGCTTCTGCCACAACCAGCACCACCAGCCATACTGTGTGTGCTGAAGGTACAATTTGCGATGCTTGTCGTGATGCGGCCTGCATCCAAGCAAACAAATAGTTCAACAAATGGAAACCAGATCAACAGCTGGTTTCTGTTGCACCAAGAGATTTCAGCATGGTGCTTTTTTTGCAAAATGTTGCAAGGGTCTCAGGCATCTCAACAGTATTGCTGGTGTATCAAGGGGTATGGCATTTTCCATTCTGCTGCTCCTTACCCCAACAATGTGCAGCTTGACTTGGCCGTGGGCCCAATTCCCAGTTTGAGACCTTTGCTGAGGTTTGCCTTATTACCTTTGGTCCCATCCTTGGATATCAGCTCGTTGGCCACTCACATCGCCAGCTTGTGGGGGCACAATGAACTGTGCCGTGCACTCAAAGCCTGATTTGTGTTGTGATGACTGGGACAGGGATGAATGAATATCAAAAACTATGAAGTTTTTGATGCATGTTCGTAGCACGTATGCACCACCATGCTGTTTGTAAGGATGCCTAGATGACAGAGAAAAAGTCCCACATTCTTGTTGGAGAATCCATGGGATATGTGCACCGAGATATATGCGGCCAGTAAACAGAGAGTCGCAAGAGTCTACCTCACGTGACTGTGTGGGCATGTGTGGAGATGCTTAAGAGCATCATCTTTGCATCCCCAGCACAGCAAAGTGACGAATGCGACACAGCGTGGTATCAGAGATACATCAGTTATTTCAGACCCTCACCTCCAGATGCCCCCCAATGTCTTCCAACAATTGTGGATCCACCAGGTTCAGACCGCACTGGTGTATGCACCTCAGCAGCCCATTGACTGCCTACATTATGCATTACCAACAGGATCAGATGGAAGTGGACTCAATGCAGGAAGGCAGCTCTGTTACAAACTCCCGACTCCCGACACACGCACACACAGCTTTGCACATTCGATAGCACAGAAAGGAGGCGTGTCAACTTCTGGTATTGGTGCAGCTGAGTAAGGACACATTGCCACTTTCAACAGTCCTGCCCCCCCCCTCAACCACTCACCTGTGTCTTTCTGTCGTTTTCGAGTTCCTTGTCTAAGCGCCCCCAACGCCTGCTGAGAAGGATGCTCGCCAACTGAATATTCCCTGGCCCACGAAATCGCATGCGCACCCATGGGAACGCCAGCAACAACAGGGACAACACACCCACGCCCAGGGAGGCACCATCGATGGCCATGTGTGACCATGAAGGACAAAACCGGCAGATCTGTCCAAGCGAGAATCTCCCACCCTGCAAGGGAACAGAACCAGAAGACTACGGCTGTGCGTTGAGGAATGGAAACATCTGGTTTGGTCGAAACGTAAGGAGAATGCCGTCAGCCGATGCTCTTGCCGACGGGCTTGGTGGTTAGCGAACTGGACAGATGCCAGTTCAGTACAATACATTCCAGCGGCTCGGAACGCCAGGAAGCGGGAGCAGCATATCGGAGCGCAGCCGCATCCTGCCGGTCGAAACAAAATGGCGACCTGGCGGGAGGGTGCAGGGTTTGCAGGGCCCACCCTTTGCGCGTCCCGCTCGCATCAATCACCTCCGGGAAGACGCAGAGCCTGCCGGTCGCAGAGCAGCACGCTGCGTCGCCGCCAGCGCCGGCACCCGCAGCGACTGGCCCGTCTCGCTCCGTCACTCGCGCAACATCAACGTCTGACGCCCAGCCGCGGGGCCATGACGGCCCCCCAGGAACGCCCCATCGCACCTTCTGCCGTCCTCCAACCGGCCGCCCCTCGTTAGCAGATCGGTGGCGCACGCCCAGGTCCCCCCCGCTCGTCAAGCCCTTTGCTGCTCCGCGCAGCCCATCTGTGCTGGGGCCCCCCCGCCCGGACGAGCGTCAGGGAGAACGCGGCTGGGCAAGAGCGTGAAAACAGCCCCTCTCCCCCCGGCAGCGCCGCGTGCCTGCGTGCCCCGGCGAACGAGAGGGCAACCCCAAAATTTGGGAGGGCTGGGGGCTGTTCCTCCCCAGGCGTACGCCTGGCCTCCAGGCAGGCACACGGCCCCCGTGCGTGGGGCTCGTTGTACCAGGCGCCGCGCGGATGTGTACATGCCCGCTGGTTCGTCAACGGGACATCGGATGCCGATACCTGCACGAGGCCCGGACGTACGAGACAGGAAGCCTGATGTAGCTCCGTCAGGAGCAACGAGCGCGGGCAAGCTCCAAAGCACTGGCTGATGGTGGGTGGCTTGTATTTCAGGGAAGAGAGTCATTGCTTCCAGCGCCACCTTCTGGTATGCCCCAATGGCATGTTCAAGGGAGTTTGGGTTGGATTGGCCGCTGGCTAATGCTTCCCGCTCACGATCATGGCGAATCTCTGGGTGGTTGCGAGCGGTGCACCCTGCAGCATGTCCAGAAAAAGGTGGGAGCTGGAGCACCCCACGAGGGGCATATCACGCTGGACGCCACAACAGCCCAGCATCGTCCCCAACGTTGGGGATCCCCACTTTAAAGTGCATGTGTTCATGGTTGGAGTTGCAATGCCGGTTCTTATGTGTGGCGATTTCAGCACCTTCTTGGGCGTGGTCGTATTGAGCGCCCATTATGTGTACTCGTCCCATCTACACATGTGGCAGTCGTGCATCTGTTAGCAATAAGATCAGTCAAGGCCCGCTGGGCTCCATTTTGGCTTATCATTTCTGTGGCATTCAGTGTTGAGCCTGAAGCTCTGCGGGGCTGGTGTTGATAGTGCAAGACTATGGGAGTGAAGTTTGATCGTGTCACGTCAATCATCGTGCTAGTCAACTTGAAGGCCAGTTTGTACATGGGTTGTTTTGCCTCGCTGCATATCGCTCTGCGGCTGTCAAATGAGAGACGGTTGGTGCATTCCGTTGCAAACGCTCTTGTGGGATGCACTATAGTAGTGTTGGACCTCCCTCTGATCATTCGCATGTCTGGCATCATCTTTGTGTCTGTTTGGTTGTTGATCTAAGGGAAGACGCTATGTCGATTTTGGGTTTAGCGTCAATTTGATGGTAACATCAGACCCCCTAGCGTCAATGCTTATGCCAATGCCAGGATAGCTCAGCAACATTACACAACGGCGCTGGACAATATCAAGGTGTTTTCCAGGAACACGAAAAAGCCAAAATTGCATAGATTATACTGAGATGGAAAACGTGATGGAAAAGGCCATTGCGGGTGATTCAGGCTGCCTTGATGGCTGCCTGCTGAGGTATTCTGGGGCCTTCATTCAAGACTGAGTGCTTGATGGAGGTTTTGGAACAAGTAGTGGGCCGTTGGCACTGATTAGCAGAGTTTTTGTGTGTCTTACCACCTTACATAGGCCACACAAAGATAGAAGAGTCACAGTCAGGCGCAGCACCTCAGGCGGTCCACCGCGACCAGAGGTCCCGACCCTGTTCACAATGAAATCACATCCAATCCATCCAAGGGGCACACGCAAATGAACGAAGCGCCGCGCCCTCCGGAAAACCATGATTGAACACCTCCAAACCTCAACGGCTAGCATTCGCACCCTGCAAGCAAACAATTGCTGCGTGATGCTTGGGTGAACGTGTCTTTTGATGCAAGATAGTGAGCGCTCCATATCAAGAACTGTCAGCTTTCCCCGCCACCTGCTCCCCTGGCCTTCTACGGATTCAAAGGTGAGGACTTTCTTACAATCCAACTGCCAGTCACCACTCGTCATCGGAGCTCCCGTCGCCCACGTACTTGGCTCCGTGCTTGGCGTTGTACACCTCGTATCGGGTCACCTCACAGGGAGCCACGCTCGGCTTTTGAGCCTTTGCAGCCATCTAGGACATGAGAACAGCCAATTTCACAGGACAGTGACGTGAGTAAATTAATGAGAATTAGCGTCACCGTGCTGCTCTTGTTGACAAATATTTGTGGTGCCGATAAATTTGATGAAATACTGGGCTGGTACAGCAGTGGCCTGAGATTAGAATGAGAAAGAGGAAAACGCTCCCCATCATGTACCGGTAGCCAGGCTCTGCTCTGCTCGAAGGATTGGGCTGAGGTGCAAATGCACGTTTGCTGCAACCCAGTCCGCCACGGTGGTCATGGCACGTTGCGTCTACGAATTAGCCCTGATTCAGAAAGACCCCTAAGCAGATCCTGATGCCCATGCAATAACAGCAACGACAGAACACCACAAGTGCAGACTATTCGTACTGTGGGATTGAATACATAAACAAAGAAATAAATATGAAAATAACATTTGTGGGGTAAATAAATAAACAAATGAATACATAAATACGCATGCAGCTAAATCAGCAGATAGCTAAATAACAACTGAATAGCTAACTAACCACCACCGAACTAATTACATACAAAATACAAAATATGTACGATAGATAACAAATGAATGAATTAATAAACAAAAGTGTCATCTTGGCGACACGCAAAACAAACCAACAATGGTTGTTCAATGCTGGTTCAACCATATCCCAAACAAATTCCGGGTATCGCAGCGTGTGTGGTGTTGCAACCCGAGCGGCTGAGTGGCGCATGACAACCTGGCGCTCGATGATGTTCAGGAATCGGAATTCTGGCAAGACTTTCGTGTGACCAAAGCAGACAATTCTGCTTTTTTCTTCGCCTCAATCAGTGTGCTCGCCAGTGCTTCTTGCATGATAAAAGGTCTCCTGTAGGGTTGTTCGTGAGTATTCCATCCAAAGAAGATGATGCACATGTCTCCACGTGCAGCAGGAAATTATGAAACAGGGCAACTGCCTTGCAGTGAACCATGGACACGACGGGGTCATATGCACTGAGTTCTTGCATTTTGGAGAACCAAAGCATGTGCATCACCTGAAAATCCCTCTTCCCCACGGGTCGAAGGTCGCTCTCTGACAGGGTAGCGATTTTAGAGCCGTGCTGTCTGACAGCCTCCCGCACAGGACCCTGGAGCGCCTCCTGGATTAGATTCCGCATGTCTGCACCGGAATATCCATCTGTCTTCTGGACGACTTTTTGAACATCCTCTTGAGACAATACTGATTTGACAGCACCTGGTAGGGGCAGCATCTGGGAATGTAGAGCTCATCGATGCAGAATTGCAGAAGCGAAAGTCGCATCAATCAGTTACAGTATTCCCATCATGTATGTGTGCTCAACGAACCGCCAGGCCAGGCTCAACAGGCACCAATCCCTTCCTCCAGTCTGAATAGCCTTTCCAGCACTGTGTCACTGCCACACTACCCGGGAATAACAACGGTGGCACATTTGTGCACTAGGGCTTTTTGACCGTCCATGAATCAGGAATGGCCGTGAGAGAACATATGGTGGGCATGAGTGAATGAGGGCTCCACACATGTGCAGTTCTGTATCTGGCACACACGAATCAGACGAAGCCAAAAGGAGCATGACTTTGGCACATCGGTCTCCTCGAGAGCGGCCGCACCTTGCACTGCAACGGCGGAATTGAAAATTAAGTTGGCATTAATGAAGATTGCATTGGAGGCACTGCTTTGTGGACCTTTGCCCATCATTGCCTTGAAGGTGCAAGGGCAACGCTTCGCCCCATTGTGATAATGTGACGAATCCCACACCTGGCACTCACCAAGTTGCCTCAGGATCATTTCTTTCCGCGCAGGCTCGCATGGCAGGGGTATGTACAGCTGTTTTGGCATCCTTCGACGAGCTGCCTCATCCAACTCCTGCAAGTTGTGCAGCCAGTTGCAATTGCTAAGAACTGCAGCAAAGTCAACCACTTCATCCACAGAGTGCGCACATAGCTGTACATTGTCATCATGCATTGTCCCTCTCCTGGGAAACTGCTCCACTGCAACTATGGGACACAAATAGAGCTTGTGTTCCTGTGTGGAGGCAGCGAAAACTATTATACATGTGACACGTCATTCTGCTAACCAAACAGCTGATCGGCCTCAACTGGCCCACAGCAGTGGCCACAAGGGTTTCTAGAGGGTATTCTAAGATGTACGTTTTCGATGCCGGCGTTGTTGATAGCACAAATTGAATCAGATTCATAGTGCAAGCTACTTTGTGCCAATGAGGAAATGATTCTGGTGTGGACGTGGTTTTGCATGCTGAATAGTGGCACCAAGAGTTCAAAGGCAAAAGTGCAATTTGAATAGATTTTAAACACAGTGCTGGACTGTAGGTTCCTACCTCTGGCCTGTTGGTTGCTCCAACCAGCAGAATTCGTCGACTCAGGGAATTTGGATTGCATCCCTCCATCTGAACCAGCAGTTCAGTTTTTAGTCGTCTGCTTGCTTCATGTTCACCTGTCAAAGTCGCACACAACGTTGGAGACATGGGTCTGCAGCCCATGCATGTTTGCATCATCTTCGTTGCATTGTGAACGGAATCCATGCGGTGAGAGGTCTTGCAAAAACAGATGGTGACGAGTTGAGAATACTGCGCTATGGAAGTCTTTTCACCAAGCAGTCATTGACATGCACTCACATTGTAGGTTGTTCCTTTTCGTCTGTTACGTTTTGAATAGTTTGTTGACAGAACTTGTCCCACTCAAATTCCTGGATTCAAGAATTATGGACCCATTTGGAGATCTACTTGCACGAGGCTGAGACACCATAATCTCGAATGCTGATAATCCATATGATCTGATCAGCAGCAACAGCAACGACATGCATGCTGCATGCAGCATGCAGAGCACCAAACACCCAAGACACTGAAGATGCACTCACCTTCAGACTTCCGAGCAGAGAGGATGGAGTCTATTTCGTCAATGAAGATAACAGATGGTTGCATGAATTCTGCAACAGCGAATAATGTTCGCACCTGCACATCAAATCGCGAATCGGTGGACAAATGAGAACTTCAGATGTCCAGAATGGCTGCCATCAGCAAGATACAACTTGGACCAGGACTTGGTGCAGAGCTGGTTCTATTTTGGGTTCTGTAGTGTGGGAAGCATGACTATGAACAAAGAATGCCGGTTTAGTGTTCTCAACACCGGCATACATATGTATCGTCAGGGTTGATCACATTTTGGCAATCGGAATCAGAGGCGTTGTCTCTTGACGAGACTACAATACCCACATCAAAGTGTAGACTGGAAATTTTTATCGCCCCAAAAGGTGCATTCCCAAGGTTGGCCTCACCATCTTCTCCCCTTCGCCAATCCACTTGCTTGTCAAAGAGCTTGCACTGATGTTGAAGAATGTAGCCTTGATATTGCTGGCAATTGCCTTTCCAAGAAGGGTTTTGCCTGTGCCTGGTGGCCCAAAAAGAAGAATCCCCTTTGGAGGCGCACGGGCCCCCTATCCACAATATATCAGACAGTAAGTGGCAGCAACACTCTGGCAAACGACACTGTCAATGCATCCCAAATAAAGTTGTAAGGGGCTTGTCGAGGAGGTGTCGCCAGAAGAAGCAGAGCAATTAACATTTTCCTGCGGATCTCTTTGCTGCCATCTGTGCTATGCATCAATGGCATTCAACGGGCAACAGCACCGGTGCACAACCCACCATGAAGAGGGTGGGGTTCATCATTGGCCACACCACGATCTCTTGTATCAACTGCTTGGCAGCATCCTGTCCAGCGATGTCTTCCCAGTCCACCGCTGCACCCTCATCCAACACCTCGTTGCAGACCATGTCGATTAATGCAGGGTCGAACTTCTGCAGGCTCTCAGGTAATTCGCCATCGGGTCCTTCACAGCCAGTGTCCAGGCCATTGTCAGATCGACAAATGATTGAAATGGATGGAAAACCTGCAGTGTGATGGGACAATATTGACTGGAATAACAGTTGCGGCTTTGTGCTGGGTTCCCAGAGGAGACAGGATAATTTGGTTTGAAAATCGTTCCCCAGCACAAGGTTTCCCACAACATGGAATACACTGTCATTCCAGAACAATCCTCCACAAAAGAAGGGAAGCCAGTGAGACCAACAAAATCCGGAAGTTCCCATATGAAATATACCACACAGATGTCATTTGGTTTCGATCATGGAGCTGCACAACTAATGTTCTGCCTATGACCGCACGATGGTGGGACAGAGGATCTTTGAATTCCGCTATGAAAACATTCGCCCACTTGGCAAAACTCTGGCCCTGGCTGCACTCGAAATGTCGAACTATTCGCATTCGCAGGCGCTTGTTCCCATAGTGTTCCATCACAGGCCAACAGCCACAAGTACTGTAAGGTGTGTAAACATGTTTCTAAAGACTCTCAATGGCTAGGATTGGCAAGTAGACAAACAATTGTCCAATAACATGTCCCGAGGGAAGCACTTCAACACAGTTACCAAAGCTGTTGATCAGCCTCCCACCATGACCTCCCACCAGCCTCCCACCTTTTGACAGTTTCAGGCCAAGAAGACAACACAAGTTGTTGTCTGCAGCAAATGCATTGCCACAAGCTGATGCTTTAAGCAGTTGGAGGCCACAAATCAATGGACAAGTCGAACACGTGCCTGCATGCGCTGCATGCCACTTACTAAGGCATATGTTCATGGACAGGGCCTCTGAAGCTAATCAATGGCAATAGTGTTGCAGATGTGGAAGCCTAGGGTCTGGTGAGTTCAGCAAGAGAGGGATGCCAGGGAAGTTCAAACCTACTAGACACCAGAAATCAGAAAACTGTCAATTCTCCTATTGTTCTTGATTTTTCACCTGCAAGTAGCTGCAGCATCTTGGCTGACATCGGATTGTCGCCTTTGCTGGTGTCTTGTCCCCCCAAGGCATTCACTGCCTTGCGAACAAAGGGAGGAACAAAGCCTCCTCGAAGTCCTGAGACGACATTCCCTTGGCCACCCTTAGGCCTTGAGAGACCAGTCCTGGGAGCGTAGCCTCCCATGCCCTGTCCAGGAGATCAACACCATTTTTTTCTTTCCAAACATGGCAAAGTGACAATGTACATGAGGGACTACACCATGCCATAGCACAAATGGGGATATCGCTTAAAATTCAGTGTGGGCTACACATAAACAAATGCAACAATGCCAAATTAGAAGAACCAACGTGTGATATGTGTACATAAGAACCATGCACAAACAAGTTCTTTAGAACATGGACAAAGAGGGTCATGATCACGTCATGTTTCTACCGTCCCTGTAGAAAAGCCTTTGCAAACTCAGAAGTGGAACTCTTTGCATTGTATGTACAGGTACAATACATCAAAGAACCAGAAACATCAATACCCCCGATCGCCACTTCCCAGGACTGCTTACCTGAGTTGAACCCAGTGCGCCTGCACCTCGGCCAACCCCCTTCATCGACCGGCCTTTCTGCGCCAACTCTGACTTCAATTTCATTCCAGCTGTCTGAAATCCCAGCGCCCCTAAAGGATCTTGCACTTCACTCCTATCATTCAGTGCTTCGTTTCCTCTGCAGTCTTCATCCATCATGTCGCCCCCATCGTCATCTTCGCCACTGAACTGACAATTAATTGTATGTGGTACAGCCTTTCGTTTGCGTCCAGCCCGTATGCGGGTTGGGTTACTAAGGCTGCGTCCTATTCACAACAGCTGCTTGTGTCATGAAGCTCATGAATGGAAAAAACACAACACAAAAATAACAGCTGCCACAGAAAAGCAAGGAATGTTCCAGGAATTGCACTGGAGACAATGTCAGAAAGTTTAAATGAGACATGTGAGTGTGCTGTGATAGCACTGCCAGTGCAAACCATCATTTAGAATACTTACATGTTGTAAAATATGCAGGACCTCAACAGGAATTCTGTTGTACCCAGCCTGGAGTGCAACTGTGGAGAGTGTCTGGTAGTCTGAAACATTTAATGGTTGATGCACGATCCATTATCAAATCCTCAGTTTGGACGTTTTCACCAGCACCAAATGAAAATGATGGAGGTTCAGTTTGCAATGAATATGACGAAGCTTGAGCATAATTGAAACATCAAATGGATCGCACTTGATTTGAATATTTTGGGATTCTGCACAACTTCGTCAACCAATCCATCCATTGCATGGCGTTACAGTCTTCTCATTGGCTGGTAAGGTGCAAACTATGCTGACAAAGGGGCCAAGAAGGCAAACTTTTACCTGCACTCTCTTCGTTGCCTCCATGTGTGTTATCTCTGATGATAAACTGCACAACCAACAGCCAAACTGCTGTTCTCATAAAGGAGGCAACAATGTCCCCCAATTGGCAGTGGGAGTACTGGCGCAGCTGTTGGCCCTTGCTGTGACCATTTTGGGGTCGGAAATTCAGCGCGGAATGCACCAAGAAGAAGGAGGCATCTGAATGCGAAGATTTCATGTCTCATATGTTGTTGCCCAGCGACAGACAAGCAAATGGCAAAAGAGATCCATATAGTCAATGTCCTCAGCTAACAGTGCAAAAGCTAAGGCCATGAAGAACAGCTTCTCCTCCAACACTTCTGCCATGCAATGAAAACGTGAAAAGTTCAACTTGCACAGCTACCAGGCACAATGAAAGAAGCCCCCTGCTGTGCTGTGGTGAAGCATTGGCTCATCAGAGAACTCACACGTCGATTTTGCTCTGTTTGATGTACATCATGACTGTTTCGGCCTTGCTTTGTCTGATTGTCCTGAGCTGGCATCTCTACATCGGTGCCTGCTTGCAGTGTGGGATTTCTATCCTTCAATCACATGAATGCGGGTGGTGATGATATGGCCACATAGCGATCAGTCAATGTCCAAACTACAGCATGCATAACTGTGTCTGAAATGGCCACAATGTGCCTTCCTACAAAGTTGGTGACCACCAGAATTTTCACATTAACACCCAAGCAGAAGAGATATATTGGTATGTGTGGTTGAACAATAGGAAATGCACTCACATTTTTAGATTCTTCTAGCACTTGGTCCCCAAGGACAAGCAGGGATCCAATGGAGGGAAGTCTCGTGGCTAAAGACACCAGATCAAAGCCCTGCACAACATGAATGCACAAGAATCACGCACACTTCAATAAACGAGAGTATAAACAGCCCCGCTCTCACAGGGCGGGCTAGACACAGTGTCAATGAATATTTTGTAATCAATCATTTGCAGTATGTACTATATTTGTCAATATTTACTAGTTTCAGCCGGGGCTACACGGATATCACTGCAAGAGAAGATGTTATTTGTTCTCCAACTCTATGGCAATTGTGCAACTTCCGCACTTCTATCAAAGGGCGACAATGTTGTTGTGCAGTTCCCCACAGGATTTACAGGCTTTGATATCTTTTTCTCACATCAGAAAACTGCAATTCTCGCCCAGTGAATCTCCATGCAGTTGTCAGTGCCAGCAATTGCACTTCCCTCATTCTCAGGGCTACTCTTCCCTTTGAACCCAGCACCACACCAATCTGCAGCACCTTCTGGCTTGGGACTTGTATAGGTGCAGCCTGGCGATCCTGTATCCCCGCTGCCTTGCACGCACTCTCCAAAATGGCATTCCTATTCACACCAATATTAGGTGACTATTGCAGCAAAGCAACTACCATGAACAAGCCTACATTGGGCACATGTTGGACATTTGCATCCATGGAGGTATGAACAGTTGCAACTGAATGTCAGCACAACCTCTCTGTTGCCTGAAAGTACATTTTCAACAGAGCTGAGAAGCACCTCCAACAGTCCACAAGATGACGGAAACCTACTTGCCTCTGTGCTGTGGCAAACCCATTTGTATTCAGACTCTGATCTGACATTAGTGCTGCTCTTTGCACCTACAATTTTGTGCAGTGGATGCAAGCACACAAGTGCCATTTGCACCAAAGTGCTCCATGATGCACTGGATGCACATCCACATCGTTCTCACCACTGTGGCAGACAATGAACAAGGCAGGATTGCACTGGTGGCAACTATGGAACAAGTGCAGTACAATGTTGGGTATGGAGATTGTTCCTGTTGCTTGTACCTCCTGCATGTGTCTCCATCCAATGCCTTGCCAAGCCTTGCCCATGAAGTCCATGTCACATGTTCCAAATGTGCTCTTGATTCTTCATCTCGAGTGTTTAGGAAACCTAAAAGCTCTACAATCTGGCAACACATTTGTTTCAAATCAAAATTCGTCCCAAAAGACAACAATGCAATGCACCTTCCTGTTTGCAATAATCATTGTTGCAAATTCTGCAATGAAATTCTTGAGAGTGGAAAGGGAATCGATGCTTGCTCACATTTCACAGCATCAATCCTGTTCAAAAAAATACAAAGTGCATCAACTTCTATCAAAACTTGGCTTCTGCTTTATGTGCCCTTATGCACACAAGTTTAAGAGCAACAACCAAGGCACCTCATGAGCACTGACTGATGACAGCTGCATGGCAAAATGGTTGATTGGGTCAGGCGACCCTATAGGCATACTGAACATATACTGGAAGCTCATACGAATAACTTCGGAGTCTTTGCCACTGCTTTTCCATCATCTTATTATAGGGTAAGCCCTGACAAAACTGACCATACTGAACAGCCGTACAGCAGGAAATCCAAGACCACAGCACCAACGTTTTGATCTTCAGGTGGACATGTCAGGGAGACCACCAAATAATGCACTATATTGATCTTGGAAAAATGATCGCATCAAGCAGGGGCATTTGTTATGGCACATGGACCATTGTGGCCAAAAGTGTAGTGTTTGGCGGTGGAGTAGCGGTTTTGCAAATGGAAGGAAAGCACAAAGTTCTTCAACCGGAACGTAGTGCATTCTACGTCGGCCCCAATGGTATCTGTGCGTTCGCCACAAGTTGTGCGCCAACACACCCCGAACTTCGCCAAGTGCTCCGGCAATTCAACTCACAGATTCGGCGTGTTCGTTGCCCTTTGCGGGAGCATCCCACTGGAATGCCCGGTACGTTAGCCGTCTCGGCATTCTACAGGGAACTGGATGCCAGGGCGAAGGCAGCATGGTTTCGGTTTGAGAGGGCGATCATGCCCAACCGTCTCCGGCTGGTGCTCAATGGCTACTCACCGCTTTCGATGAGCTGGATGCCTCTGATTGAAACAGCAAATTCCGCAACCGATCCCCGTGGCTACTCGCCAGCTGCTCGACGGCAGCAGGGCCCTGAGCAGGGTCCATTTACAAGGCCCAGAGGTGAACTGCCAGCACCGAAGAATGCCAAGGGCACAGGTTTCCGATGCCTTCGTGGCGGGAAAAACAGTAACATGAAGGCCCACGTGGACACTTTGAGAGCATATTGATGTCCAAGGGAATTGTTTGGGTGGTTGTGTCATCGAGAAAATGACTCGCTAACTTGGTCTTGTCCACAGCAAAGCCTCTTGTCTGCAAATCAGCTCTTCTTAGTTGTCGCAGATGGGCATCGTTGGATGCATGCATAGGCACGTTGTGCATGTCGATCGGCATTGTGGATGAAATTAATGGAAGTTGGCACAACAAATTTGAGGATGTTGCAATTATAATTATTCGTACTTCTAATAAAACTGAAGATTGGCATGCGCTTGGCTGCAACAACCGACTGGGTGATAGCAAACCATAGAATAGCCCAGAGATTTTGCTTGACAGTCGAACAAACTTAAGTGTGATGGGGAATGTGACAATTTCATGCAAATTTTTGGATGAACTGCTCGTGGGACTATGTTCTGTGAGGTTCTTGAGGGGGCTGAGCTTGGCCAAACGAAGTGAGATAATGATGTAATAAGATTAATGAGTTTAATGGAAGATAATTATTGTGTACCGTGGATGTAAGAGTGTTGGCGCGTGGTTTTTCCGCGCGCGCCCCGTGCGATGGATCGACGATCCCTCCGGCGATTCGCCAGGCGTATTTGGCACGGCCGCTTGAGCAATCTCAACATGACATGGACGTGGTGGGCCCCTTGGCGGAACGACCTCTGCAGTGCGTCAGCCGGAAGGGCAGATTGGGTCCAGCGTTGCCTTGCGTGCGGTTCGCAGGCAGGCAGTGACAGCAAAACGGGATGTTCATTACAAGGTTCCCAGCATCTTGTCCCCGCGGCACACAATACGGTTACATAACCCTCAAGTCACCCTGTACTTAAACCACCGTCCCCACAAGCACCCAGACCGTTCCCAAAGCCCTCATTTCAATGCAACAAAATGGTTCAAAAATAGCCAAATCTCAACATCGCCTTGCTGCGCTCGATGCAAAGCCTCCGCACGGATAATTGGTTTGCGAGCCTTTGCGTTGTATCTCACTCTGCTCGAATAAAGAACTAAAGATAATGTTCGCACAACAAGTGCGATGCGGCCGCACCATGTTGAATCGATCGTTCTGGAGAGTTTTTGAAACTCTACCTCCTCATGTGTAGCGTGCGTGCCTCGGACAAGACCGCAAGCAATGCGGCCGTCAAGCACAGGTAAGAGGGCACGCATGACATGCTGTCCGGCTGAGAATACGGCATGCTTCCATGGATAGGCTTTAGAACGTGGGCCGATGATTTGGACGTAGCCAAGAGGGAGCCACAACCACAGGGAACAATCTTGGGAGCAAATACCACTGATATATTTCCGTTGACCCATTGGTGGGAAAAGGTGGTTTTCTTGGCAAGGAACAATATGGAATAAAGAAAATTGCAATACGTAAGTTACAAAAGTAACATTTATATTATGTTACACATGGGCCTATGGTGGGGGATACTCTATATTACACACAAGCCTAGTGTGGGGGACACCCGGTCTGAGAGGCCATATCCAAATGATCCTCATTCTTGATGGGAGGAGACTTTAGGACTTTCTTTTTCATCCTTCTCCTCCCCTTTGCCCGGGGATATGTCAAAAAGTGCATAAATCACTAGGGTCACAGAATCTTTCCCACGGCCGTGGGAAGAGCGTGGGAGACCGTGGGACGGGCGTGTCAGCCCACGTGGGCCCACGTGGGCCCACGGCCTCCCCACGGCTTCCCCACGGCCTCCCACGGCCTTCCCACGGCCAGGCGGCCCACGTGGGACATAGTGGGAGTGGCGTTGAAATGCAGTAACGTGGGCCCACGCCCCACGGTGCCACCAACGGCATCCCACGCCGTGGGAGGGGGTGGGCCGCCCCACGTATGGGACCGCCGTGGGGGGCTGCGTGGAAGCGTGTGGAGCGGCCGACGTGGATGCCTGTGGGGCACCCTACGGCCAGCGGCGTGGGGCGGCGTGGGTCCACCCACGCCTGGGTCATCGT